TGCTTGAGTTGCCTCTCGTGGGACAAAGGGAAAAGCGTCGAAGATAGATGGCGGGTCAGCCCCCGCAGCGCAATCGTGCGCGCACGAGTCAGGTTGCAAAGAGGGCTCTCGAACTAGGCTCTTGGAGAGACTTTACGGCTGGTGCCGCCGACCTTGGTGGTTGACCCTCATGCTGCAGGAGGCCTTCGGAGGTCTTCGGGAAGGTTGCAAGGCTCCCAACAGGTTTCCGGGCGTGCTGCTAGAGGGCTCCGCGATGCCACAAGCCTTCGAAAGCGAGCGCAACGAGGAGGAGGAGGAGGAGGAGGAGGAGGAGGAGGAGGAGGAGAAGGAGGAGGAGGAGGGGAACGAGGGTCAGAGCCATGAGGAGGAGGAGGAGGAGGAGGAGGAGGAGGAGGAGGAGGAGGAGGAGGAGTTTTTTTGGGGGCCTTTGCCGTGTCCGCATGTCTCTGAGGGGTCATGGCTGTATCCTGAGGCCACGTCGGACCTTCTTGGAGCAATCGTGCGGCCGACTTCCTTGTTCTCGGGTCATCCTCGCCTGTTTTGAGAGCATCGTGGGCCTTCTCGGTTGCAGGGCGAGGCCATCCTGGTGTCACTCTGCAAGGCCACTCAGCTGTCTCTCGGAAGCAATACGGTGGGGGCGTTCGTTAAGGAACGCGCCCAGGAGGCTTCAGACCCTGGAGGGTTCCTTATCTGATGAGGGTGGCGGTCATACCCATGGCCAATCCACGACTGGCTTTCCACTGGCTTCCAGACCCTGGATTCCTTATCCAATTGTTCCTTGTTCAATGCCCCCACCGCAGAAGCAATATTTGTTGGCCGTCTCCGAGTGTATCCTGGCCCAGGTTAGCCGGTATGGAGGCCACCTTGACTCGTCTGGGGACTGTATGGGGACACTTTCGTGACTTCTTGGGTTGACTGGGCGTTGCTGAGGAGGCTCTCTGCGCTCTGTGAGGCCGTCGGGAGCTGGAAGTGCAAGAACGCAACAATCGCCCCTCCTTGGATCAGCTGGGGGAGTTGGGCACGTTCTTCTAGAATGGGTGGAGGGGGGTTGGAGGAGGAGGAGGAGGAGGAGGAGGAGGAGGAGGAGGAGGAGGAGGAGGGGGGAGGGGGGAGGGGGAGGGGGCGGGAGTATGAGGGATTGGCAGCATCCGTCGGAAGGTCAACCACCTCCCCCCCTCGAGAGATACCCCAGCCAGAGTACGCCCACCAATCATCGACGCGGCCACGGCCCGCCCGCTGGCCAGCGGCTCTCTCCGGCCAGCCTTCGCGCAGCAGGAGCGGCGCAGCGCCCGCACGGTCGGCGTGCGAGCTAGGACCCCGACGTCGGGGATGCTCTGGGGCAACGCTGGTCTGTGGGGGGGGTGGATCAGCGAATGGGGGGAGGACGGCAGGCTCGAAGCTCGAGGCTCGAGGCTTTCGGGCGTTCTCGTCGGACCTCGGCGGTGCTCCGGCCGCGGGATGCTCTCCAGCAGTTGCGCCTCGCCGAGGGCGTTCCGGTGGTACCTGGATTGTCCCGAATGGCCGCCAGAAGCCCGAGGTGTGGCCAGCGCCGAGAGGGGACGCATCGACCCCCCATCGCCCACTCCTCGCCGAGAGGGGCCCCGTAGCCCACCCCGCCCAGGAACATGCGGATTCGCCATCGGGGGCCGATCGCCGATCTATCGGCAATGCATCGCCGATTCCAGGCCCCGCTGGGCTGGTCGCCCCGTTGCCCTTCAGACACGTGGACGTGGCTCGGCATTCTCCTCGGCACCCGTTTTGCGCTTCTGATTTTCATAGGAGGAAGTTCCCTAGTTCTGGATGTTGTGGTGCTGGGCCGCTGGTAGACGCCAAGACGGGCTTCCTCTTTCGGGGCGCGTTGCGCGCCTCTTGAAGCCTTGGCGCTTGGCTTCGCTCAGCGGGAATTCCTCGTCGACAGCTACCCTCCCGAATCATCTCTTCATTCTTCAGCACTTCGTTACTTTGTAGAACTGGGACGTCTGAAGTGAGGTTTGTGCATGTGTGCGCGCGCGCGTGTGAGTGTGCGCGCGCGTGTGTATGTGGGTTTGAGCGTATGTGTGTGTCCGTGGGTGCTTGTGTTCCCATATGGGCGCATCCATTATCTTCACGCCGCGTGATCTGGGCTGGCCCGCGTGCGTTTCGCTTTCACTCGAATATTACTACGCCGCGCCGCTGCGCGCGTAGCCGCGACGCCAAACGTGTGTGTGCGTGTGTGTGTGTGTGTGCGTGTGTGCGTGTGTGTGCGTGTGTGTGTGTGTGTGTGTGTGTGTGTGTGTGTGTGTGTGTGTGTGTGTGTGTGTGTGTGCGGCGCTGCGCCCCCTGTTCCCCTTTTGCTGCGCCACTCCACCGTTTTCTGCCCACGTCTCTCAAGCTTCGCCCGCGGCAGTAACCCGCTCGCTCTCTGAGTGCGCGCCTGCCACCTCCATCGTCGCTGTCCTCGCTGTCGCTTGTTGCCGTGCGGGCTCCTTCCCCTGGCCAGGTCGGTTCCCTCTCTCGTTCGCACTTTGTCCCCGCCATCCACGCCCGAACGGCATGTGGTGCGGCCCGTTCTGAGGCCGGCACGCGCGTGGTCCCGTTCGTTGTGTTTCTTTTTGTCCGCCTCGTCGCTGCGTGCAAGGCCGCGACCGCCCAAAAGTGTGTGTGTGTGTTGTTTGTGTGTTGTTTGCTTGCTTGCTTGCTTGCTTGCTTGCTTGTGTGTGTGTGTGCGTGTTCGTAGCCATCTGGCTCAAGGCCGTGAGCGGGCCCCCCCTCGGGGGTCTCCCACACTCAAGGGGGCGCCCCACGCACGGGGCCCCGTCTCCGCGCGTGCCGCCCCCGCCGGGGCTTGGCTTGTGGGGAGCGGGGAAGGGCCACCCCCACGGGCCTCCCCTTCCCAGCTCCCTCCGCCGCGCCCGACGGAGACGGCCGCGGCGCGGTGGCGGCGCTAGCGCTGGTGTGCGGCCGGCCGCGCTGCGGAGGCGGCTGCCGCCGGCGCTGTCGGTGCCACGGCGGCCCCCGCGCCCGCCGCTGCGGGCGCCGCGCGCCGCCCCCGCGGCCGCGCCGCGGCCCCCGCGGGCCTTCTGCAGGGTTTGGGGCAGGCTTTGCCCGTGGCCTCCACCCTGTCTGCCTGGCCCTCCCCTGTTCTGTGGGCTGGCTGGCCTGGGCCGCGCGCCTCCGGCGCCTTCGCAGGTCCCCCGGACCTCGGCACTTTTTTTCGCTTCGCCCGCTGGGCCCTTCCCAGCTGCCCCCCGACCCGTCTCCTGTGAGGTGGTCTTCTCCGGCTGCTCTGTCGCTTGGAGGCTCGGCTCGGTCTCGGCGCTCGGCCGCCTTGCTGTGCTGCCCAACCCCATGCCCCCCCCTGCCTCGCGCGGGCGCCCCTGACTGCCGCCCGCCCCTGGCTGCCCCGCGGCTGCCGCCCCACCGCCCCAGCGCCACCCCGCCGCGGCCTGGCCCCGCTCTGAGCGGGCCCGGCTTCCGTCTCCCTCCCGCCCGCGCCGGGCCTTCCCCTCCTCCTCCCGCGCATGGCGGCTCGATTTGCCACTGTGTGCAATGCATGTTCCCCATGCGCCAGCGCAGTTACTCTGCCTAACCGCCGACGCAAAGTGTGTGTGTGTGTGTGTGTGTGTGAGGGTGTGAGGTTGTTAAGGTGTGAGTGTGTGTGTGTGTGTGTCTATGCTGTGTGCATGTGTGTGAGTGAGTGTGTACATGTGTCTGTGTGTGTGGAGTGAACTAATATTTGGGCTGAGCGCGTGTGTAGTATCATGGGTGCCTTCTCCAGCGATGATGAACAAGAAAGAGCCGCCTCCGCCTTTCTTGTGCCGCATGGCCTGGCGCCCCACACGGCTCTACCTCTGGCCTTTCACTTCGGCCTCCCAGATGCGATTAGCGCAAACGGGGTCGGAGGATCGCTCCGCATCCTCGATGCATCGACGATGCGGCTGATGTGGAGTCTGATATTCTCGACGTCGACGTTGCTGGGGCATCGCCGACGTCGCCGATGCATCGCCGACGCATCGGCGACGCATTGGCGATGCGGCGCGACCCCCCGACCCTTTCTAGTCGGACCCCATCTGGGTGTACCCATGCGAGTTCGATTTCCTTTTTGCGCCCACGGCGGGTTCACAGTCGGGGAGGCGCCTTCTTGCGAGGTCAGAGTTGAGACTGCCAATGGTTGAATGAATTGTCGCTAAAACGCGCAACGTGTGTTGCCTTGGGAGCCTGGCGCGAAGTATGCTCCAAGTGGGTTCGGATGTCTGATGGATCTCGCAATGCTACAGTCTGCCATGTTTCCGATTTAGAATCGGAAACCAAAGGCCTGCCAGGAAACGATCTGGCTGGCTCTTCAGGTCCCCCTCGACCCCTCATTTCTTCATCAGGTCATCTTCCGTCTGTCTATGCCCATCTCTTTCGGTCTCTCTCTCTCTCTCTTTCCATCCTTCCCACCTCTACCTTTCTCCGGTTCGTCCTTCCCTGCCTTTTCATCCTTCTCTTCCTCCTCCTCCTCTGTTTCCATTCTCTCGTCCACCTGATCCTTAGATTTGGTCAAGACTGACTGGGTCCTGACTTTCACCCCTGCTGAGTTCTTATTGTTCAGGGGAAATTCCTCCTGGCCTTCGGCCGACGGCTCCCACCAATCAGTGCTGGCCACCGAATGTGTGGCACGTTCCTGTTGGCAATGGATTGGGGCGATTTAGCTAGTATGCTTTTATTGAGTGTTCATCCCCATCCTGTGCGCAGGGATGGGCTCGCGAGCATGAGGACCGTCAAGGCCAGCCCATTTGCTTCCGATTAGCAGCCCTCTCAACATACCTCTCTCTACCACTTCCTCTCACTCCTCCCCGTGCGTGTCTCCTCCCTACTCTGCATCTGTGCCCGTCGTCTTCTCTCCTCCCGATCCCCCTGTGTCTGCCTCCAGCAGTGCCTCTCGATGTCTTTCTGTGCGCCGTACTTCTCTGGCCGATCTTGCAACACGAGTCCTGGCTAGCCCGACGCCTCTCGCATGCTTCCTCCAGGTCGCCACCTCCTCGTCTGCCTGCTCCTCCCCTCCTCGTCCCCTTCCGCCGGACGGCGCAGCCCGCCCGGGACCAGCGTGGCGGCATGTAGAGGACTTCGGCAGGTGAAGCGGCGGCGGGTCCGCCGGCAGAAGCCCGGTAGACGCTCAGAGGCCTGCGCGTTTGCTCTTTCGCCGCCCGCCCAGACGTCCCCCACAACACCTGGGCGCCCAGACGTCCCCCACAAAACCTGGGCGCCAACGGGGCCTTCCCGGTCGCCCCCTCTCAACGTCGCCCCCCCCCCCGGGCTCCGGCCGTCGGGCCCCTCCCGGGCCTCGAGGCGCCCAGGACGGGGCGGAGGCCAGGAGAGGGGACGGCGCTGGCCAGCGAGGAGGAGGAGGCAGTGCACAGGAGGGGAGGGGCGCCCAGTTTGCGGCGACGGGGCGTGGAGGGCACACGGCGGGTTCCAGGGAGGGCCTCGCCCTCGAGGATCGAGGGAGTTTGCATCTCTTCTCCGGCGGAGGGTCCTCCTCCTCCTCCTCCTCCCTCCTCCTCCTCCCTCCTCCTCCTCCCCCTCCTCCTCCCCCTCCTCCTGAAGGCATTTGAAGTTAGTAACTGTTAGGCGGAGTTATAACTTAGTTATAACTCAGTTATAAAAGTTAGCATGTTGATTTATTTCGGATAACATGATAGTTTTTCGGCTAACATATACTTGATTTTGGGGCGTTCAATGTTGTTTCAATTTCGATGTTGTGTTTCTTGCGGGATGTTTTGAAGATGTATTCATTGATGTGAAGATGTATACTTCTACATCGCAAACGCTTCAGCATTCCAATTTGCGATACTCAACTGGCCAAATGCAAGTGATTGCATCGCCGAGACGCCTGTTAATCACAGGGTGCCTCAGCGAGTCCAAAGGAATGAGTACGGGATTATTATCTTCGTCTATGGAGTACCTAGAATAGTAATCTGCGCTGTGCACGTGCCGAGTCTGCAATTCCAAGACTAATCATAGAGGCCCTGAGGGCGCAGTCTCTGTGTCACAATCTACATGGAACCAAACCTGCACGGCTGCATGTCCTGCAGCACGTCCCAGCAAGCATATGTCTCCTCTATGGATTGGCCCGTACTTGGTCCACGCCGTGAGGCTCGATGATGCCGATTGCGTTTGCGGACGCAACTCCTTCAAGACGCCCATGAGCTTCTTGGTGGCGGCTACGGGGTCGACCAGCGTCGTTGAGATGCTGAAGTGCTCCATGTCGTAACTGTGCTGCGCCGTGAGCTGCATCATCAATGACTTCTCGGGGGTCCTCATGCACAGATGGTCCTTTGCAAACTTCTTGCAAACTTTGTGCTTCCGCTCGTGGACGAAGCAGTTCAAGGGTCCGAATTTGAAGTACATGTCGGCAAGATGAGTTGCCATATGGTGTTTGTAAACCCAATATTTAGTCCCGTATGTGCGCGTGTGTAGCTCCAAATGCTTCATCACGGCGACATCCAGCTCACGTGCAATCGCGAGGCCCCTGGACGAGAGAATAACCATATCAATGGCATCGCACAGTGCAAGTTAACTTGCAATATGACCCGAGATGGTGCCTGCATCAGGCAGCTTGGCAATGACTTGCCTGATGACGTGCGCCAGCACGGGAATCATAGACAGCTCTTGTGATGCGTTTGCTTGTAGTTCGCCCTGTGCGAACACGGCATTGGCGGCATGAAATTTGTGGGGCCATGTCCAGTTTGAAAGATAGTCGTTGAGATCTTCGGCGCTGCAGAGTTTGCAAACCGCCTTGTTCTCAGTGAAAGCTTTCACTTCTTTAGCTACGATGCCATTGACGCTATAGATGTGCATCCAATCGAAGCAGAGGAGCGACATGACACCGTAGGCGAGGTTGGCGTCCAAGGCAACGTGCGTCGGATGAAAGTTCCAACCCTTTAGCTGCGTGGTCTCCTTCCACTTGTTGTCGCTAATCTCACCGCGGTCGTACCTCTCCCAGTCGGGGCGTAGCCTTTCCAAGATAGCAACGATCTGCGCGTCTGTGTTGACGACGCGTTTGCTTCTGTCGAGGCATGCGTCCGATATAAATGTACCAGACGTGTCGTGCGACGCATAGTCGAATTTCTGGTTGAGCACGTTCCTGCAGATGGCACACGGTTTGGTGCCCGCGTGCCCTTTGTTCATGTGGAATTCACGGAGGGTTTCTTCGTCGCCCCACAGTGCAGCCCAACCTCGCGATTCTAGTCGCGTGCCTTGTGGCATCCCCTGCTTCTGACACGTCCAAGATAACTCCAGTCGTACGAAAGTTCACCCCGCCAGACGTATTGAACATGAGCTCGTTGCACGTCATTGCAACCGACTGCCCGATCCCTCCAGGCATGTCCCTCACTTTGGAAACCCGAGCGGTGCTGAGCACGAGCCATGCGTCTTCGTCTTGCAAGAACTCATCGAACTCTAGAAACGACCAGTATACAGCATCCACCCCTCGGTGGTCTTTGCCCTTGGCCAACGGGTCACGCGGTGAGATACCGTCGAAATATAAGCAGATGCGCCATGGGGATGCTAGGGAGCACGGGTGCTTGGCGAGCTGGCGGCGCAACGGATCTCTGAACCCCTTACTCCGTTTTGCCGTCGAGTACAAGTACGGGCCAGGGGCGCACGCCCAGTTCTTGAAGCTCTTACCGCTGTTCAATGGCATATCAATGCCGACAAGCACGTCACCGTACTGGTTCGATTCGGCACCGATTAATTTCTGCCTTGCGCTGTGCTGCGCATAACGCGAAATGTTACCTGGTATACCATTATCTCGTACGTACTTGAGAATGTATGTAAGACTCCGCTCAGATACATGTGGGCCTCTGTGTAAGTCAATCGGTGCTTCGGCGTCTGTCTTGCGACGCTTCGGTGGCCCCGCCGACATGGCTTGAGCCAAAACTGCTACTGAGTGATGGTATCATGAATGCGATATCTGCAATCGCAACAGAGGATTGTGCGACGGGTGCCCCTCGCATACGATGGAACAACGACTTGCATTTTACATTGCGCCATGCAGGCATACATGAACAATGCACACAAGCGTTATAGCACAGCGAAACAAATCGCGAGAAGTCGCGATCGGCGATGAGCAGAGCAGACAAGCGGCTACGAGCGCTCGTCTATGAACTTCATCGCCTTGGTGAAAGCCTCCTGGCGCGTGCTGCCCGTGTCCCAGCGGATGCGCCTGTCGGACCGCCCCAGGACAGCCCTGTACTGGGACTTGTCTGGCTGCGTGAGTATATACCCCGCGCGGCACTCGATCTTCGGGGCCCCCGTCAGCGGGGCCTTGGGCAGCGGCTTCGGCTTCGCCGTGGGCCTCGGCTTCGCCGAGGGCCTCCGCGTGACCACCTTCATGGCCTTCTTCGGCGGGGCGCCCTTCATGACCTTCTTCGGCGGGCCCCCCTCCTCGTCGGCGAGTTCGTCGCCATCGTCGTCGGCGCCCTCGACGCCATCGGCATCGCCCCCAGCAGCTGCTGGACGTTTACTCAGGGCCACGGCCTCCTTACGCTCGCGCATTGTCTTGCGAAGCGCTGCCTCCTCATCAGATAAGTCGCCGAGCGGGGCGGGCATTCCTCCCGCGGCTGGTGGGGCCGCAGGCGGGGGCGCCTCCTGTGGTGAGGGCGCATCTTGCGGTGGCGCTTTGGGCTTCGGCATCATCCCTGGCGGAGGCGACCAAGAGTGTGACGATTGGCCAGGCACCATCCCTGGCGGAGGCACCATTTCTGGATGAGCGTACATATGGTACGCGTTCATCGTCCCGTACATGGATTGGTAGGCGCCGAAGTCGCAAATGGCGGGAGGCGGGGCGGTCGGCGGCGGCGGGGCGGGGCGGTCGTCCCGCACTTGCTTGGCCGCGTGCTTGCCGCCCCTCATCAGGCGACTGCTCAGTCGCGCGAAGTCGGGCTCGTCGATGTACCAGTCCTGCCCGTGTGGCGGGTCTCCCTCGGGGTACGCGGTATAGTGCCACGATTCGCTCTCGAGGGAGTCTGGAGAATCGTATTCCCATTTAGTTATGTGTTTCCAGTCTCGTGCCTTCATGGTAGCCAGCTTCAGCTTGACCTGCGCCAGAATGTCGTACCACATGTCGTTGGTAACGCCAGTGAGTTGGGGCGATACCACCGCTGCGAGTTGACCCTTGCTCCCCTCGGACAGAGTGTACATGCCGATCGCATGGGCCCTCTTGCACACCATGGCGATCATCGCCTTCTGCGACATGTCGCCGCTCTTTAACTTGGTCGCCTCAGACGCCGAAAGGAAGCGCGAGAATGCAGCTGCCTTCTGCCACTTCTTATCCGCGGTGCTGGTCAGCACACCCGTCTTCTGCCCTACCGCCGTGCAGATTGCTGCAATCTGATCAGGGGGCCAGTCTGGGAGCGCATTGTCCCGAATTGTGCCCACCAAGAGCGTAGCGTCGTCAGTGCTGATCGTTCCGAAGGATCGCACTCTCGACAACAGCGACTGCATCTGGTTGTCGGCGCATGTCTTTGCGTCGAGTCCGCAGCCGACTTGGGTATGATGCCAATCAATCATATGATTGAGTTCGGCCAGCACATCACGTATCGACGTCATTGTTGCTACGCAGCAGAAAGCGATATGTAAGTTCGCAAAACTGTTTGAGCCAAACTGGTTACGGAGCCCACGACGATGACGCGTGCACGCTTGGCGATGAGGCAAAGGTCAACAGGGGTGTCGAACAAACCAACAGCGCGAGGGTTGGTAGTCCTCTCGGGGG